TTCCTTAATATACAAACCAGACAGAATATATGCTGGATTTTTAAATGCAGTAACAGCAGTGAAAACATAGGTGGAAAACGTTCAGTTAGAACCTGCTAAAAGGCTCTGTCAACTTTCTCCATCACATGGGACTCCTCACCCAGCCTGCAAACCAGACTTACCAAGCCTGCACAGATTGGTGAAATGAACTCAGATATTTCAATGAGAGTTTGGGATGTTGGTTCCAGCAGGATATAAAAGGTGGCTGCAACTGTTCAGAGGGAAGAGAGCTCAAAGGTGGGGCTTTGTAGGAACCGTTTCCAAATAAAACAGTGCATGGACACAAATGAAGTTGAGGTTTCTCTTTAATAGCTATTTATGTGAAATTTCCCCCAAAGCCCAAACCAGCAGCAGAAGTACTTGGCTTTACACAGCACTTGGGGATTTCTTTTAGGTGAGGGTGGCAATGTCCTTTGCTGACACCAGCTCATGGCTAGATCAGAGAGCAGACGCTCTGCATCCCACTTAGCAGTGCTGTGGGACTCTTGTTCCTATTACTTGAGCAAACTCTTCTATAATTCTACTATGCTTTTTCTTTTTAGTGGCCAGTAACTTCCTGTTTGTTCTCCTGATAAATACCAGAACTTCAGCTAAAAATGGAGAAGTTGTCTAGATTCTCTTATCTTGTAAACCCCTGGCAATGGTGCGCTGTGGTCGAGTTCTGGCAGATCCCCACAACGGTCAGAGGCACCCGCTTGCAGCTCCTTGCTGCTCTGTACTTCTGACAGCACTTAGTGCCCCTTGCACAGAGACAGCAGAAACCCACACTGCTTTGCTAGCTTTTTGCAGCTGGTACATTAATTTACCCCTCTATTTGTCTTCCCGGACCAGACACTCCAAGAAATGTGGTAAGAAGTGCAAGGCTCAATTTTCTAACACGGGGTCCATTTCAGATTCTTGTTCTAGAGATGCTGATAAGGAATTTTGACTTTCAATAACGCTTGAACAAACCAGTCACTCAAGTAAAGTGGGAAACTTGCCTCTTTTTTTGAGCAAGTGGTCTTCCCTCATCAATTTGTATAGTACTGAAGATTAAAAATAGCTCTTCAGCTGGGGTACAGCTGTGCAGCATTGACCTAAATGGAGCGGCACTGACTCGCAACAAGAAAGCATCTGTATATAGACCTTTACTACTTCAAACCACGTATCAACACTAACAGTAAGCGCTGGCGTGGCATTCACAGGAGCTGGGGGGGCAGGCTGGCTGACTCCTGCTGCTGCTCCTCGAAGGTGTCACAAACTACAGGACAGGGTTGCAAGGATAGGCTGAAATTAACTGCCTGTTAAAAATCCCCCTCCTTGACCTAATCAGCACATGAATAATGTGTCTTCTCAATGGCACCGATTTCATTAGACATCCTCTGTGCCTTCTTCTATGTCTTTTTTACCCCTCATAGTGACCTTTTGCACTGGCTGTAGCAATTTATTTGTTTTCTAGGCCATGAAACTATTCTCTCCCCTCTCCAATAAACAGAAAACAAATATTACCGGTCAGTGAGCAGATATATTTCCATATGAAAACCATCAACATAAACAGTTTTTTCCCTTGTCACTCTGAATGCCTAATCTAAACCCCTGGTTGGATGTTTTAGCACTAATATAAGGCACTGCAACCCCCATCAAACCTGAAGCAGACTCCCCCATGACATCTAACTTCTTACAGAAGCTGGTGCTCATGATCCACTAATCTCAATGCCAACAATCTCCAGTGGGGCCAGGTTTTCCTCCTGTGGGGCTGAGCGTCAATGCTGAAACTTAGCACTGTTGGTCTAGAGAATGATGGACTTCACCTCCACCACCACCAGTTCCTAGTTTTTGGTAGCAGCTTCTTCCTCTCTCACCCTGGCCCCATCCCCAACTCCCCAGAGCTTCAGGGGTTCCTCAGCACCCAGCAGACCCACACAGCCCCAGACAGTAAGGAGAGCTGGAACCAAGTGGGGAAATGAGAGCACCGCAGCTTTCAGGTCACACTTAGGGGACAAAGAGCTGCAACACACACCAAAGGCTCTCCCGGGAGACTCCTTGCACAACTGCCTCTTTAGATAGGCTGACGTGGTGGATTCATGGTTCAAGTATGAGGCAGGGGGATAAGCATTGTACATGCTATTAAACCACTGTCAGAGCGTTTCACTGCTGAAGTGAAGCTCCCTGTGCTTTCTAATGAATTCTCTGTGTTCAGCATTAAGCTGTCTGTTTTTACAGAAAGTTACACTTGGGTAATTAATCTCGTGTTCGTTTCCTGCACATGCAAGAGAGCAGCCTTTGTTAGGGAATGATAAGACACTTCTAAGAATAGTGCTACTAAGAGCATCAGCTTTGTGAGACATTTCAGGAAAAATATAGGCTCCTAACACCTGCTTTTTTGCTTCTCAAAGTTTTGAAAATAACATTTTGCTTACCTAGAGCCAAATTCTGACTTGGTTACTCATAGAAAACCTAATTGCTTCCATCAGAAACAAGCATCAGTGAAGGGATACTTTGGTCTCTGGGCTCCAATCTTGTAAAGATGTATTTGTTTAATTTTACAAACACTGTAAATATTCTCAGTGGCTTCAGTGGGACTATCTGCAGCTCCCAGTCTCACAACCTGAATTCATCACTTTGGTCTCTTAACTATACATTCCAAATTAATTGGATTTTCTTAGTGACTGTGATGGATTGAGGATTAAGAATTTATCTGTGTGTAAAACAAGAGACCCTCGGGCCAGACCGTACAAAGGCCGGATGCTGAACTCAGGAAAATGTAAACTGGGAGACAACCCTGTGAGAGCAGCTGAGTCGCTCCAGTGCAAGAGGGTTCCCAGCCAGCAGCAGAACAAGCCCCCATGTGAAGCTCCCTGGCAGCCTCAGCTCAGCCCATGGGTTTTGCCAGCTGAACACAAAGGGAGGTGTAAAGCTTGGGGATTTATGCACGTTGTCAGTTCAGAACCAGAGCCAAAACCATTCTCCTGTAAGCGGTTGACACTTGACACCTACTGAAGTCAGTTTAAACAGTCATTGTTTTAAAGCTTGTGTTGTTTTTAAGCAGTCACTGTGATTCAGCCCGAGCTATCTACCACCCCAGTGCAAAAGGCACAAGCTACCACGCTGGTGAAACTATGCAAAAAGTGGGGGGAAATAGTTTACAGTGGGAAAGAGGCATTTTCCATTTAGACTGTAGCATTCACTGTGTAACCCAGTCATAGCAGAAAGGACATTAATCTTTGCTGTACTTGCAGCAGATTTCTTTCTGCTCTATTACGGACAAAGCAGTAGTTTATCCTCCTAACCAGAAAGCAAAGCCTAATCTGCAGAGAACTGGCTAATCTAGTGGTTGATGTTTGAAAAATAACACAGACCCAATTTCTCTAGGTTTTGTAGTGCAAAATGCGAGCAGAGCAGACTGCAACTAGCCTTGTGAACTGATCAGAGCCCCTGTTGTGACTATTATCTTGACTGTATAATGGGGGCTTTCAAATCCCGGCTTTATCACATTCTGTTTTCTCTACTTTGCCCTTTTATGAATATTGAGTCATCAAAAACAGCTTCACTGACAGAGCTACTAATGATACCAGCTGGGTGAATCAGTGGCTTTTACATTGTCTAGTGTCAGTTATACAGTGCTATTAGTACGCTCGTTACAAAATACAACAAAAATTAGATATCCACATTTTATTTGCAGCTCCCTTGAGACACGTTGCAGTGGTTATTTTAGAATTGGAAAATGCTAACCGAACAGAGCAAATATTCAGCCATTTCAAAGCAATACTGCGAGCTAAAAGAAGAAACTCTGGCTTAGAATAAGTTGAAAGTAAATTCGAACATCAGTAAATTTTCCTTCCTCCTAGTTTTTAGTGTAAAGAAAAAGCACACCACCAAATGATATCAGCCACATTCTTCATGAGACAGTTATTCCTCATATTACAAGAAAAAGCTAACATCAGCAGTCCAGGAAAAATGCTGATAAACAGAAGTGAACACGACAAATGATGTAAGTGATGTATATGGCTTGGGAGTGCAATGGGCACGTATGGAGGCATCGTTCCAGCCCAGTGCAGTGCCAGGGGGTAAGTTAGGTTAGAAGTACATGACTCAAACGAGTACTATTCAAAAGTGTAACAACAGTAACGACATGCCTGGTGAAGAACCATCACAAATGAGTATGCAAAATGGCCCGCCATGGGCTTACATTTTTAATGCTGTCCCAAGCCATTTTTTCCAGGGGTCATTTATTTCTACCCGGAGAGCCTTCCTCGCAGTGATACAGTTCCCTATGTTGGCAACACACCCTTTTCTCTTTTTTTTTCTTCATAAAACCAGGCAGATAGAGGACGAAACAAGGGGCCCCCTTTACACACACTGCAGTTGCAGCTTCCATGCACGCAGAGCTCGTAGCTTCTCACAGCCCCCTTCACCTTCCAGCTATCGGGAACTTTACAGCACGGCATCTCCTAGCACCCCTTATCTCAGACACAAAGTCAAGCTTTCTGCTAGCAACTGCATCTGGCACGTTAAATGGGTAAATAAAACTACTGCAGATGTTGCCTTTAGCAAGTGTCATGGAAATGACAGAGCATCTTAACAAAGAAAGACTCAGAATTTGAAGTATTAGGCTGTTTTTATAAGGAGGCTCTTGCCCTTCCCTGGAAAAGTGACATCTGAAATTCTGTTACAGCAATTCTGTTAGTTACGGCAACACTAACTGAAACCGAAATGTGGTTTTTAACCCAAGATACGTTGCATAACAATTGAAGTATTACAATCTTATACGAGCCGGGAAAGGTTAATTCCAAAGGGAAAATAATACGGGTGAAAACTAAAACGCTCCATAAGCGCATGGACTTGTGAGTCTTTTTGTTTTGGTCCAGGGCGAAGCCGAAGCAGGCGAGACATTCAGAGGAACAGCAAGACACCGAGCACATGCCCAAATCCGTTTAGCGAGAAAAAAAAAAAACCCACATCGGCAGAGCCTTTGCACTTACGTATCTCTTGAGTTTCTTCTCGGGGGGTGATTTAATGAGCCATCCGGTGCAAACGACGTCCCCCGAGCTCATCTTCCCCCCCGGCGCGGAGCGGAGACGCGGGAGCCAGGGTGCGGGCTATGTGTGCGGGTGTGTGCGGGGCTGTGTGCGCGCGTGTATTGTTCCCAGCCAATTTGCAAGCAGCAGTAATCAGCTTCCTTCAGCTGTGCTCTGATACTGCTCCAGCCCGAGGAGGAAGTCATGACATTGATCACTGACACGGCCAGCCCTCCCTCCGCCTCAAACACAATGCAACACACCGAGCACGTGATGGGCGCCCGGGGACCGCCGCCGCGCAGCCGGCGGCTGCGACACCCACCGGCACCGGCACCACCGGCACCACCGGCCCCGCCGCGCCGCCCCGGGAGCTCAGCCCCGCGGCCCGGGATGCTGAGGCCCCTGCCCGGTGGAGCTGGGCTCGCTCGCCCCGCAGGGAGCTGCGGGAGGAGCGGTGCTGCTGCGGCCCCGGGAGCCCCGTTTGGGCGCGGTGCCCCCGGCGGGGTTAGCGGAGGCGGCCGGAGAAGGGCCGTGGCCCGGCCCTGGAGGCCCAGCCGGTGCGGATGCTAGTGCCGGTGTCGATGCTGGTGCCGGTGTCGGTTCCGGTCCACACACCTGCCGACCCCATCAGCACTGAGATGACTGCCTCAGCTCCCACCATCTGCCTGTTCCTCTACTCCCGAACTTCCGCACCTTGTGGGTTTGGTCCCCTGTATCAATTTACTACAATTAAATGCAGATTCCCCCGGTGTTCAGCTCTGGATCCCCAACACAAGAGGGTTGTGGAGCTGTTGGAGCAAGTCCACAGGAGGCCACAGAGATGCTCCAATTGTTGGAGCATCTGTGCTCTGGAGGCAGGCTGAGAGAGCTGGGCTTGCTCAGCCTGGAGAAGAGAAGGCTCTGGGGGGACCTTAGAGCAGCTTCCATTACCTAAAGGGGCCAACAAGAAAGCTGGAGAGGGGCTTTTTATAAGGTCCTGTAGTGACAGGACAGGTGGGAATGGTTTTAACCTGGCAGAAGGAAGATTTAAATTAGATATAAGGAAGAATTTCTTCCCTGTGAGGGTGCTGAGGCGCTGGCACAGGTTGCCCAGAAAAGCTGTGGCTGCCCCATCCCTGTCAGAGTTCAAGGCCAGGTCGGACAGGGCTTTGAGTGGCCTGGTCTAGTAGAAAGTGTCTCTGCCTGTAGCAGGGGGGTTGGAAATAGATGAGTTTTAAGGTCCCTTTCAAACCATTCTATGATTCTATGAATAAACTTAAATTTCCTGGTCACAAACAGACCTGTTCAGAAGTGCCTGCAGGGAGACAGGTTGCCATCCCACTGTCACAACTGAAAGCCGGTGCATAACATTGCTGATATCCCTGGAGCTAGTGCCTCTCTCCAGCATGGGAAACTCCTGGCTTTTCAAGGACGGGGCAGCTTGTGTTCATTTTGAAGCAGCTGCTTATATACCATTGACTTAGATTTAAAGTGGATGTAGTGATTCTTCACTGGGTTTTGCAGGTGATTTGTGAGGAGTCTCATGTGCCTCTGCCGAGGCTCAGTGCTCGTGGTGCAGACCTGCTCTGCCAGCAGTGCTCAGCAGCATCACACCTGGGTGAGAGTTTCAATGTTTTCCCGGCATTTTTCACATGCGGAGCTCTTTTGCAGGGCAGGCTGGGCACAGCTTCCAGGGTCACTGCTGGATCCGACCAACTGGGAACCATGCTTGTGTTCTTCGTGATTTTAAACAAAAATGTTGTGGCAATATGTATTTATTGATATATATACCTATGTATATATATACATATATGATATGTACTATAAACGGCACATAAATATATGCCCTATGTACATTTATGTAACAATACAAATAAATCTGTATATACTCATAGCATCCCTGTTGCTAGTGCTTTGCTTTACTACTGGTCATAAAATAATCTTGCCATAAATGAAAACTGTCATGAATAGACTATAAACAACATATTTAAAATGTGCTCTGACTTCTCCAGATAGGTTTTTGAGAGTGACTTTCATGCAGCCTTGCAATATTACTTAATTCCCAACCTTACGTGCTACTACCACCTTCACTCAGCTCCATTTATCCCTTATCCATAGGGATGATTTAACAACTTCACATGTTTAATATCAGGTCTGTGAACAAGGCTTTGCAACACTTCTCCTCGGAGAGATGCATCCAGCCATGGAACTTATTTAGGGAAGGAAAGTCACACTTTCCTTCCCCATGTGACTTGAGTGTGTCACTCTGACAGATACAATAGCCTTACATCTGAAGGCTTTAAAACATTAGTCTACCAAAATTAAAAAGAATTGTGATAAACTTCATGTAACCCACTTTTTACTGGATCATTCTTCAGACAGATGGGTTCCCCTGTCAGTTCTCATGTGCAGCTGCGTAACTGCTTGCAACAGGGCAGCAGAGGAGGTGTGGATGGGGCAGAACAGGGTGATGAGGAGCCCGGAGTGCCGAAGGGATCTGAACCAAACCACAGCCTTGAGGAGAGCTCCAGGTTTGTCTTTGCTTGCCTTTGGTGATAATGCTGCTTAAATCACCAGGAGTCCTCAGCTCTTAAGCCACTTGTCCCTGCCCTTCTGCCACCTGCTTCATTACACAGGCACAGTGTGTTTGTGTGGCTACATGACAACTGAGTCACAAAACTGGCTGTGTGGAAAAGAATGAGTCAAAAAAAGAGAAAAACTGGTGATTTTCCATCTGGATCAGGACTAGTTTCCTGGTCTGATAAATGCTGTGGCCTGCGACACACTCACACCTGATCAACGGATGGGGGATGCAGGGCAAGTTACAAGAAATCAGCAGTTGCTTAAATTGGCATTTGTGCCCCAAACCCGCCTGCTGAGTGGTAGCCATGGCGACAGGGAGGGGTACAGCGGCTCTGTTCCCTGCTGGATGTGTCCCTGCTCTCTGAGCCGCCCCTGTCCTCACTGCAGAAGGGCTCAGCTGCCTGCGAAGCACCTGCCGAAACACTCGCACGTTGCAGCTCTGCACATTCAGAATAAACACAATCCGTGCCAGTTTGCTGATGGTGCCAGTAGCCTGAGGGGAAATGCAGGAAGCCAGAACTTGTAATTAAGCAGAGCACGTGGGGGTTAACACGTTTGTTATGAAAGCTGCTGTGCCTTCATGGTGTTTGTGCTCTAAACACGAAAAGAGCAAATGAAGTTATTTTCTTACCCTGATGATTTTCATTGTGTTCATAATGTGTCAGTCACGTGTTTGAAAACTGCAGGCTTAAAAATGAGCGGTATCTAGCCCTGATGGAGGAAAGGGGATTTCACCTTTGTCCTGCTCCATGCACACGTTTTGCAACCACTTTTAAATGATAAGATTCTTTACTTAAATCCTTCATCATGTTGAGGAATGACAGGGTCTTTGTTTCAAAAACCTTACAGTTGAGGACATGTAGAAAATGAGCTTGAAACAGAATGGGAAAGGGAGCAAAGAAAAATGGATTTTGCCTGAACATTTCTGTGAAACCCAAGGGCTGTTCTATTTTAGTTCCAGCTTTTGCATGTATACATTAGCATTTAGTTTCGGACTTCAAGTACGTTGAATATGCTGGAATCACTGTGAAAACCCAACTTCAAAGGTATAGAAATAGTTCCCTAATACTTCTGTAATGCCAAAGGTTTGAAAGTGCAGAGTTACATATATTTGCTGAGGTTTCCTCTCTCACTTTTTAAGCCTTTTTTACGATAAGTATCACACGGTTACCTTGAAAGAGATCAGGTTTTGCTTGGTAGCAATAACTTCATCCGGTGGCACCTGCCTCCCCAAATCTGCTGCAGGCAGAGCTACAGGAACATTCCCAAAAGTGACTGAAGCCTCCACGGATATGACCTGTAGATGTGATTACAGAGAAAGTGAAATGAAATAAAATGTAAACCACAAAATTGAAACCCCAGATGGTAAAATCGTTCTCTGTTCTGCACTAATTGTACAGGTCACCCATGTTATGGTATGGCTCAAGTAAATTGCAGGAATCTGTCTTTATTTGGATCATGCCACAGTCTTTGTCCTTGTGGTGGGTTGGCTCAACACTAGGTGCCCACTGAAGCTGCTCTCAGCTCCTGGGTTGAGATAAGGGCAGGGAGACCACTTGGCAGTTACCGCCACAGGTAAAAGAGACTTGACCTGGTGGAAATTAATTTACCACCAATAAAATTAGAGCAGGGTAATGAGAAATAAAAACGTGTTATATGTGCCACAAGCAAAGATCAGAATAAGTGTGATCAGTTTGATCCTGAATGTGTGTGCAAACTACATCAGCCAGATACCTGAGAGGAATTCTCTGCTCGTTGTGAAGTACTGGTCTACTCTTCTTTCCCAACTCAGGCTACCAAAGTTTCACAGGAGAGCAACGCCTGACCCTAATAAGCCAGAATAGAACAGACTGGCTAATTGTGTTTGAGGGGAAATTCCTTCCTGACCCTGCAGGCAGCCGATTTAAAGAAGTCAGTGTGCTATTTAAGCTTGCCCACTTCCATGCTGCAGAGCAACTGGTGCTGTTATTAATATTGAAAGCAGTGAATGTCCTTGCTCACTGTGGACAGATGAATAATTGGGGTGGAGAGGATGGGAAGAATCAGGAGGATTTATTTTCCTCACAGATGTATAGGTGTCAAAGCAGGAAGAGACACTGGAGGTAGCTACAATGACATTCCTACAAGCATTTATTTTTCCTAGGATATAGCTCCATATTTAATTGACAAAACCCTGTAGTGGCTCTGAAGGTGGAGGTGTATGCAAGAGACAGCCCCAGCACTGGGAGAACAGCCCTTTTCTCTCATCTAGTGACTGATCCCTGTTTACACATGGAGCTCGCACCACACTTACTCAGCAAAATGCTAACATGCCTCTGCAGCATTCCCACAGCAAGCAGAAAAGCCCAGTCCCACAGAAAGACATGACACAGTATATATGTTCCAGCTGTTCCTGACAGTTACCACTCCGCTCCCCCCTGCAGACAAATATTTCACTCTCTTTCCATTCACAAGGACAAATTCAGCAAAGCCACAGGGGATAATTGAGCCCCTTCTCTTCCTTTCAGTAGCCTGTCCTCACCATGCACAGATCATCAGAGCCACATGGTTTGTTGTTGCTGTTGAAACAATTAACTACATAAATAAGCCTGACCACTGGCATAGAATGATGCCGACCCTGTCTGCACTCATTGCTTCACTAACAAAGGTATCCTGCTGGAGCTGCCTGCAGACTTGGTCACCCCCAGGCTCTCACTGGCAGTGGGACCCAAGGGTCAGGTACCTGCTTTGGATGCAGGAGCCATTGTGAAAATAGAAAAGGAAAACACAGACAGTTGAACGTTGCTGTGGTTTTGCTCCAGGA